CATCATACGAATACAAGATGGTGTCGTCTTTGGTATAGTCGCAGTCTCCTTTCGATGAGGTGAGCTCGTTGTCGCAACTTGATCTTGTTGTCAGGGCGACTTAGTAGAACGCAGCTAGTCCGAAGTCTTCTACCTTATTAGTTGTCATGACTCCCAGCATCAGACAGTGGGCTTGGTACATTCTCAAACGTTTCGCCGGCATCGTAGCCGGCATGATCAGTGAGCTTTGCTATTCTCCGTGCCAAGCTACCAACTCGTCAAGGCGACAAGTGAAGTCCATGCCTGAACAAACGTTCTGCCGAAAACGGTTACACTCTCACTCCTATTTCTGTCTTCGCCTATCTATCTACTCTTTACCCTCTTATCCCACTGCCGCCACATCAAAACTTCTCAAATGTCTACATCCCACTCGTGGGAGTTTGATAGGATGGTAAACAGTAGATAGATAGGCCATGACAAAAAGAGAAGTTATAGTGTAACCGTGTTCGGCAGAACGGTTGTCGAGGGATTGACTTCGCTTGTCACTTTGACGAGTTCGTAGGTTGGAGCAGAGAATTTATGTTGCTACGTGAACAACACCGATGTATTTCTGTGCAATCGACAACGAGGTAAAACCCAAAATAGAAATTTGCTTCATCGACAATCTGACCAGAGAATGTGATATGGGAAAAAAAGGTCTGGCCTTTCTTGAAAATCACATCTCTGCTGTGACCTAAGAGCAGTTGGTGCAATGCGGTGTAGTGGTTGACGTGTTCCGATTATACGCTCAACTGTCATGGCTCGAGTCCCTTTGAGGCCGCTGGTGAAATCAGGTCACGTTAGGCCGAAACTGCATTTATTTCTGGGCTGGATGAGGACAGCTTATAGAAAGTGAGGCTATGAGAAACGCAATGGAACTGTAGGGTCTACTCACATTATTGTGGGAAAATCCATCCACAAGTTCTTCACCACTTTAAACGAAATAGAGTCTTGAATGGGCGGGCAGAAGTGTCTTCAGGTATCCAAATCGTTTTGAGCACATCACAGAAGGACGGTAAGTCACAGGATCTTTTCGCGTCACAATGCACCATAGTTCAACTGACTTTTTGAAGGGTCTTTCAGTCTTTCGTTCCGCGAGGGAGATTGCTTCTGTTCACGAGAAGCCCCGGATGCCTCTGATGCTACCT